TATTTAAAATTAACTACTTTTGAAATTAAAAAAATATATAAATTTTACATTTAAGGATCAATAGAAAAATTGTAGTCGACCAAACTAGCCAAAAAATTAAGTTTATTAATACAATTTTTGTATCAATTTGTATTAATAAACTTAATTTTTTGGCTAGTTTGGTCGACTACAATTTTTCTATTGATCCTTTGATTACTCGACTAGCGATATTAAATTATTTACAATTTTACATTTAAATTTTGCATTAATCTCTTTCGATCAACGATATTTTTTTCTCTCTCTAATTAATATTGAATATATTATTTTATAAACATGTTTTTATATTCTACGCTTTTTATATTGAGAGATATTCTCTCTCTTTCTTGATTCTGTAATTTTAATGCCATGCAAGAAAGATAGTTGTAACACGTGGATCTTAAAAAAACAGCAAACATAAATGTAAGAGGTCGAAAGAGGGTGAGATGAGGAAATACAGAAGGGAAAGGGAAGAGGTCAAGTCGTGACTACGGCGTCATACGGAAAAATGCAAAAAGACGCCACCATAAACTGGACAGCGTGCCACGTCACACAAACTTCGCTTCTTTTTCTTCTTTGCAAGGATATCGCGTTTCTTTTCCCTCTGCCTAGCTCTTTAAACTCTCCGAAGGAGATGCATGAGTGATGACAGAACATTCGGAAGCACGTGCACCTTTATAATGACTGAAGTTTATCAGTTTCTTATTTTAATTGATGGAAAATTTGCGAATGAACATCTTTACTTTGTCAGATGATTAATAATTCAAGTGTTCAAATAAATTTTGTTTTTTAAAAAATAGAATATGATTAATTTCATAATTTATTATATAAAACTTGGAGAAAAGTTTCATCTTCTCTGATTTAAATATATTGATTTAATGACATTAGTGTTATTAATCAATATTATAGAAGTTATTTTTTCTTCATATTTTCTTTATAAAATTCCTTTGAGATTAGAATATTTTTGATTTTTGAACAAATATAATTCTCGATTTATAACTAATCTTATTTATTAAATATTCTGTAAAAAAGGCATTACTATAGAATCACTTAAACTATTAAATTTATTACTATAGAATCACTTTAAACTATTAAATTTATTACTACTATCTCGCTACTATCTTAACAGACAATTACATTCAACCACACAAAATCGCATAATTTCATATTAAATACGCTCGTATATCTCTGCCTCTGCCTCTCTCTTACATTAAGAAATCAGAAAAAATAAATAGCACGTATATTTCGTTACATTAATGCGAATTGTTCTAAAGTTCGCGAGTCTCACGAAATTATATTATATCATTACATTGATCGACGATTCGTTATTTCTGTAACATGACTACATTAAAAGTAAAGATAGCAAAGATAACGATCGTCACGTATTTATCTGCCCACGTATCGACGCTTTTGTTCCCACGGTTTTCGCGACGTATACAAATTATCGGGCGTTCTGAGACGCGATGTAGAACGAGAGGTTGCCCTTTTTCCTTCTATTCGTGCTTCTCATATATGCGCAGAGAGTACAAAACAAGAGAAAGAGAGAATGCAAGCGTAAACAAGCGTCTGTTCAATCCTTCAATCGCCGAAATTCCGTCTTTGCTATCTAAAGTAGCAGCAAGATCCTCACTCAAGGATCAAACGATCATAATGGCAAAGCGGCATTACGAATCTCGTCTTGGATTTGCTTTCAATTTCAGGGACATATTCTCCAATAATTGCAGACTCATGATTTTTAGCAACTCTTAAATTTTCTGAAAACTCACCGGAAAATTCAATTGTAATTAATTTAAGAAAATCACAACTAACAAATGTATTATTTATCTTGCTGAAATTTGTTTCAATAAAATAATTTTATTGTAAACATATCAAATATTTTTTTATAATAATTTATATTTTTTCTCTTTCTTCTTTTCATATTTTTGTAAAGAAAAAAAGTATCGTTGTACTAATATATGTTTTCATTGTATCTGCAAATTTGACAAAATACTTTGTTTTCCTAGAATTACGGAAATGTTTGGCTAATTTTTGCAATTACAGGCAAAAATGTAAAATATTGATATGGCTAGAAAATGTTTCTGTTGATCTTTGTAATCGAAAGTAATCAGTGAAATTTTCTGATTTGCAATCAATAATATATCATATTTGTTTATATTGTAATCTTTGACAGATAATCTAGAGATTGAGGCGTGAAAGGGGATCTCTTCTAAAATTTTTAAATTTATGATAAATGTCTATTGATATGCTTATATATGTACATCTGGCGATGTATAATGTAATCATGAAATATGTTGGACATGACGTTTAATTATAAATTAATATTTACACTTTCTGAGAGAGAACAGAAATTATATGTCAAATATTCATATATTATAGACTTAATAATCTGACAATTTACAAGATGTACAACGTGACAGACAGTACCTTTACAAAGGTTAAATAGAGAGTTTGACATATTCGATTATATATGTATAATTAAAATTATTTATGTAATTATAACTATTCTTCAACACAATTTATTTTTTCACAAAAGTATATTTTCTCAAAACCTTTAGCCTTTTGCATAAACATTGATTAGGTATTACAGGACCGTGCTTTTTGTTTGCATTAATCTCGAAGCGAATAGAGCCACCGAGTCTGACTGCGCGAGGTTTTCTATTTGCGAAACGCCTATTAAGTCGATGTAATATCGCGCTGTGCATCATTATGCGCTTCATATATCTCCCTGTCACACATTTATCTCTCTCTCGCCTTCGGCCTTTTTCCCCATAATTTTCACTTATCGTTGGTTTACCTCGACAATGTACTACCTCGATCCAAAAAGACAAAGATTAGAATATACATCTTCATTTTTTCCATCCATACAATATATGTCAAGAATTTCAGTGAATTAAATTATGGATTTTTAATTAAATTAATTAGCATCCCTTGTATGAAACAATCAATATGTTTTAGTAAATGGAAAATATTAAATATAATCAAAATAATGAAATATTAAAAAATATCATAAATATACAAAAAATTATAATAATTATTTATTCTTCGATCAACGAACAAATTTACGATCGATCTGTATACAATCTTTTTTTTTCTTCCAATATACTTTGATATAATCGAGCCCCTTTCCCCGGCCGCTACGAAGATTTCTCGACGTCGTCGACTTCATCGCTTGCAAAGCACGCATACACGTCCGTTAAGTCGACGTAATACCGCGGGGCGCATCATTATGTACTCCATAAGTCTCCGTGGCTTGCCCCTCGCCCTCCTCCCCTCTTCGGATCTTCTCTCTTTCTCTCGCACTCCTCTCGCTCTCTCGCACGGGGGAAAAGGAGTAGGAAAAAAAATATGGAGAATGCAGGGACGAAGGGAGTCCGAGAAGGTTCCCGCGCAGGAAGACGACGGAGAGGGGGACGAGGGGGTCGAAGGGGGTCTCGCTCACCCCTCTCAAGCGCGATACCCGGATACACTCGCTGCTGGACCCTACACCATCCCCACTTCTGATCCTACGGGCTTCGCAACGAGGGAGCGAAAGAGGGGAAGAGAGGCTGTATGCTGTCTCTTCAACGCGACGTTCACCGGCAAGCGAACTTTGCGGAGGGATACGAGAGAGGGCGAAGCAGAGGGGGAGGATGGGGGCAAGAGATCCCGATGAAGTAAGGGAGTTCTGCTTTTTCGCTCAGGGTCAGAATCGTACATCACCCGCGCGAACGCTGTGCAATACAGACTGACGATCGCTCGGATTTCTGAGCGCGAGTCTGCATTCTCGCAATGAGAGCATAATTTTCTATCGCGTTTAACGCCGCTCGGTAGAGACGGTGTACAAGCTCTTCTACGATAATGAGACGATCGGTGACGGATTTACGGTGCTATCCCTACTCTCATATATATTCTTCTCCGATAGCTCTTAAATGTTCTCGCTTCTCGGGCTCCTGCGGCGAATTCAACGATCGATCGATATCGGCGTGATAATCATACACCTTGTTTAAGCCTTTTTCAAGTGCAAAGATACAGAACCGATAAATAATTGATTAATATATATTTTTATTATAAAAGTTATAATTAAAAAATTAAGCAGACGCGTCTGTTATTTTTCTATTCTCTCAAACTGAATTAAAGTGGTATTGATTAAAGCAGTGATAAGATTTTACTAAAAATGAATTTAATTATTTCACTCATTTTCAATGAAAATATTTTGCTTACATGTTTCACATAATAAAATTACGATAGTAAAATTTTATTTTGCAGAAAAATCAAACACTATTACTAACTGATTTTTCTCATGAGATCTCACGAAATCACTGCTTATCGGTGAGTAATATAGTGATTCTATTTAAAAATTACATGACACATCATGACGTTTATACATGACATATAACATAACATAATAATAATCGATTTTATTTTCCTCTTTCGAAAAATTATAAATTATAAATTATGTATTACATGAAATGATTTGAATGAAAAATCAGTTCTGGTTAGTCACTATCGAAATGAATGGAATGACGATGGGTCATGAATATCGTGTACGAGAAACTCTCATCGCTTATATAATGCTCAAGATTTTAAAAAGGAGGGGGAGGTTGGAAAGTCGACGATAATCTTGCGACGACCAATTTTGGATCATACCGCGTTTGGTAATCCGGAAGCGATTACATTTTATGTATTTTAGGTGACGCGACGCATGCAGAATTTTTATCGTTTGTTCCTTTCGGGTACTGAACTCAGCTATCTACAATCATTTATCCTCAGTAGATTAGTATCGCGAGAATACATTTTTTATTTTATTATCAATTATCTTGCGATAGCGTTTTATGAGTTTTATTTTGGTAATAATTAAATATTAGATACATTTATTAGTCGACTTTTTATTAGTCGAAACAATCGACTAGCTTTATCTGTCGAATTACAACATAATTAATATCATAATATTCGGCAAATAAAGATTCATGATTGTACAATTAAATGTATTATCTTTTATTTTGCAGATCCGACGAGGATGATCCGAGTGGCTGTAAATATAGGAGATTGGACGACGATAATGTGCAGGACAAGGAAAGGTTTGCAAGGTGAGCATCAGGCTTAATTCAATACGTTAAAACTCTTTCGACGCGCCTCTTTCATATTTGACAGTTGACAACACGTGCTCGCCCGCCGTTTGACGTTTCTAATATATTCTATAACTTCGTCGTACCACTTTCTTTTCGAGCCAGTTAAACCCGATTACGTAATAGTCGGAAACTTACGAAAGTTATTTTCGATACGCGGGGACATTTTTCTCTCTCGGACCGTCTCTCTCTCTCTCTCTCTTCGACGTTGTTAATTCGCCTCACGAAACCGCGACCCAATATGTTTCACCGGTACACCCTGTACATGCGCCTTCTCAAGTACGAGAAGGTTACATACATACCTACATGATACCGGGCAATGTGAGGAGCCGATAGCGGAATGGGAAGCCCTCGAGGCTGCTCCAGCGTGGGAACATGAGGCGCACTTATACGCGCGCCGGAGTGCGCGTCCTTCAAGTCCGTATACAACGAAAGAGACACGGTATGTACTTTGATTCCCTTCCGAGATATTTCGGCTGGCGCGGGCATTAAATTCGCCGGACAAAAGCCAGAAAATAATGTACAACGCGTGAGACGCATAACTTACATATAAAATACGGCTACTCCAGAGACGCCGCGAATAAAAATCTACATCGAAATCCTCGAGGAACCTCTACTTTCACGTTCAATAATTATACGCAATCTGCCAAAAATAGCGAATTTCTTAGTTTTTTCCCTCCCTCCCTCTCTCTCTTTGTTTCACGTTCTTTGATATATTTTTTTTATTTAATTACAAAAATATTATTTAACATTTTGCAAGTTGAAAAATTAAATTAAAAATATAATGTTCTATAAATATTATTTGCAATATTAATGCAAATATTGCATTGTATTTATTAACATTTTATCAATGAGGAGCTAAAATAAATCGCACTGCCTATATTTATAAAGCTCAAGTAGAGGCGATCAATCTCGATTGACTTATTAATAGACAAATACAAAAAAGGATTGAGCTTACCGGGCATTTGATCGGCCGTGACTCAGCCCCCTGCTTTGTGTAACGTGACTGTGTATGGCGTTACGTCTCTATTAAGTAGCGGGCCCACGATGCTTTCTTACCCGATATAATCATGGTGTAAAGCCGATTATAGGTAACGTACAAAAGACGAGCATGTACGTAATTCTGTGCAATTTCAACCACATGCTTTTGCATTAATTATACAAATTTTTGCATATTTTATTTTTTTATTCATGCATTTATATGTAAAATTAAACGAAACAATGAATATGAAAGGATAAAAAGAAATGAATAGACAAAAATAAAATTATAATAGTTTTGATTGCGCATAAATATATAGATGCTTCGAAAAGCATAAAGTTCAAAGATGAAATAAATAATTGATTTTTTTTATTATTATGTAGAAATGCAATTTATCGATTTCTGATGCGTGCTGTATGTAAATTTTGCATTTATCTTCTTTTAAATATATAAGAGTTGTATTATATTATATCTTTACTATATGTCTCTGAAACTACTTGACGTCAAGAGTAAAATTGACGTCAAGTAATAAAATTACATCCCTCTCTCTGTCTTTCTGCAAGTAGGATACAATCATTACGATTAGAATACTGCATTTCTCTCTTTCTCTTTGTTTTTCTCTTTTTTGCGCGTGCAAATATATCTGCGAAATAATAATACGGAATTGCTCACATCTATTTATCTATCTTCGTACACGCAAGGGAAAATTGTATAAGTCTAATTAATTTATTTTATTTACATTATATGTATTTCGCTAATTATTTATTAAACAATTAATTTTGATAATTAAATAGACGTGTCATTTCAAAACATTTACGATATATTTCTTAAAAAATGACCACTGCATTTTAAGAAGACATGTCCGTCTGCACAAATTCATATAGGTATTTTATCTTGTTGAAAATAATAAAATAGTTTAGTTAAAATTATTTCCACAAATAATCATCCAATTTGAATCTAGAAATCTCTCACTTTAGTCAAGTCCATTATTTTCTCGGAAGAAAAATGTTCTATTACTTTTTAACGCCGGGCAATCTGATGACTGACTGTCGATCCGCCGTAATAGCAGTAACGATATCTTATCCACGGTCTCTCATCGCGTGCCGCCACGGGTGGATCCGTGGTGGTGGTTCACCTGCAATTCCGTATCCGTACTGTCGTTTCGCAGGTATATACGGTGCCGCGAAAAAATACGCGCGGGCTCTGCGGCAAAGACCGACCGGCAATATTCTGATGTCGCGCGCTCTCTCTCTGTCTCTTCCCTTTTCTCCCTTTCTCGCCCCCAGTCCTCTCTATGGAGAGAACCTCACTTTTAAGTTAATAACGCAATTACTGCCTCTCTCCTGCCGCAAGACGCGCAACTCCCTTTGCCGCTCGTCCGTCGCTTCTCTTCTTCTTTTTCTCTCCTTTTCGCCTCCCACCTCAGATTTCCCCGGCCTCGCGTCTTGCATTTTCTCGACATTAATACAGGCATCGGCATTTTTGGCGTCGCGATAATTGCGGACGATTGTTGTTGTCGCATGCCGGCGGTTAACCAGAGGGAGCGTCTGCATTTCTCTTCTTTTTGTTTTATCGCCCTCTTCATCCCTCATCCTAGCGGTTGATTATTCGAGAATTTGATGATGGGACGTGGCCCATCATTATTAATATTTTAGATAGACGCGTTAATATTTTGCTTAGTATTTTTACGTCTCTCTTCTTTTTGTTTTATCGCCCTTTCATCCTTCTTCATAGCAGTTAATTATTCGAGAATTTGATGATGGGACGTGGCCCATTATTATTAACATTTTAAATAGACGCGTTAATATTTTGCTTAATATTTTTCGTGAAAATTTGTAAATAATTAAGGAGACTTTCTATATATCTATATAAATTCTATATAATTAATTGTGAAAAAATCACGCAAGACCAATCTTCCAATTTTCCAATGTTACATGCCAAGCACGAACTGGTGAATATTGTACAACGTTATCGAATGAATATCGAACGTTGCTTAAATCATTTCCAAACGAAGACGTTATAATCGCACGCATGAAACAGCAGCGTGGCGAGCTATAAATTTCCGCGCAACATATTTACTGCCGTGAACGAGTAATCGCAAAAGCATAACGTTCACCGGACATAGATACGTTATAAATGACGACTGTACTCGGATTTATTGCGGCACCGTGTTGACGCAATCATTCTCCGATAGCTTATTCATATTTCCTTCTTATTTCCTGCTTTAATTGACATATTATATCATCGAAAAATTCAGAGAGTATCTTTAGTAATATATTACACTAATTTTAATATATTATTATTAAATTTTGTTTTATGAAAATATAAGATAATTGAAATATTAATTATTTTCATGAAAATGTATAGCATAATGATTGAAAAATCTGTTTTCAAAATACGTTTCAATCTGTACATAATAATTTTTTATTTTCGCAAAATAAAACAGTCATATTTTTCTCAAATATTTGTTAATCCTAATTTTGTTTAAACAACACGTGAAATCTTTTTAAAAAAATGATTTCTTCAAATTATTAAATATCATAAAATTATTATTAACTATTATTAAATTTCTTCAAATTATTAAATATTATATTATTAAAAATTATTTAAAAAATTATAAATTATTATTACATCACGAAGAAATGCCAAGAGAGGTAGAGAGAAAGAGAGAGAGAGAGACCGGAACTTCTTTCGTAAAACGGTAATCAGACGTAGTAGGCGATCACATAATGTCGAGTCTTTGTAGTTGGCAAAAGTTTGCGGGAGGATATTACTCGCCAAAGTAACTCGGAGTCACCATAAGAAGGCTCTAAACGGTAGAGAGATTATCTTGCACCGAAGTGAAAAGCACGTGCCTTAAACGCCATATAAGGAAAGTCAGCAGTGACTCGCTATAGAGATCGTCGTGCAGATTATTCTCATAGGCCAATTAATTAAAAAGTTTCTTCTCTGGTGTAATAAGTTGCAGAGTGAACGTACCGGGGAATTAACCGGAGGTTATATTGGAAATCTTTTTCAATCGTTGCAGCTATCGCGATTAAAAATTATTTAAAGTTTATCTCTTATTATATTTGACGCAGAAGATGCGTCATCAATTTCTAAATTTCGTATGTATATGCAAAAGATAAAAAGAGTGAGGATTGCGCAAGATTCGATAGGATATCAAATTAGAATATAAATTGAAAAGAATAGCAAACAAGATGGAAATATGAAATAAGGAAGTTATATTATCATTAAAGTTTTTTCTCGATCGCAAATAAGACGGTCGTAGTCGGATCATGCGTTGTGTAAAGCTAGCATTCGTTTCTTTATCCATTCCAGTAATCAAGATGATACACAAATACACAGATAACTCTTTACATTATTATTCTTATATTCTTCTATAACTGTCATACAAGGGCGCAGCGAGTACATTATTTACGTTATTAGCCGCGTATATTTGCAGAAACGAATTGAAACGATAAATTATACAATTGAATAACAGCGATTTGCGTACAACTCTGTTTCGTAAGTTTATGCACATGAACTTTTGAAAATATCTAAAAGTATGCGGGGGAGTCACCAGGCAATTTTACGAAGACGGTAAATCGCACTGTAAATTGTATCACGTATAAAGTTTTACATAATCATGTATTACAACTCGTTATCTAATACGAAAGATAAAGCATGTTGGACGACATCGAAAGTACGCGGAGAGATATCAAGAACAAACCTAGCGTAGCGTCCCTAAATGCGGAGCGATTCGATGATAACTCGCTTTCTTCGCAATCTCGCCTCCTCCTTGTACGTCGGGATAATTTTTCTTCTTCGTGGGACTTTGTATGTGTAGCACGTGTATTTCTGAACCAACACTAGATCACCGCGACATAGAAAGCCGTGTACACAGGGTGTACACCGAACGAAACTCAATGTTCTTGATCGATTTTCTAGCAACTGGAGCAATATTCTATTTTATAGCTTTGCTAACGATTAACGATTATAAATGCAAAAATTTTAGATTATATATTTAAAAGAGAAAATGAGAAAAAAATTACAAAAAATTCAAAATTATTTTATTAAAAAATCCAACATATTTGAAGGAATCAACGATAAGGGCCGAAACAAGATGTTCTTTATAAATGCAATTATTCTAGAAATAATAAATATGCAAGTGTGTGTATGTATCTGTTACACATTCTACATAATCATATTCACGTTCACTTATGTTTCTTATTCTATAAATTCGTCATTTTCTATTAGCACTTTTTTTATTATTGCTTTTTACTGCTGATTGATTAATGCGAAATAAATTAGCAAATAAATCGCGTATTGCATTTCGTCTTATCTTACAGTTTTAAGTTTCTTAAGCGAAATGTATCGTATTTTACGCTTGAAACGGAGTCACGGCGGATAAAGGGATCTACTATCTCAACCTTCAACTAGTATCCTCTTTTTCAAGTAACGTGACCGGTGTCACGGGGTCAGTGTTGATCTCCGGCCTAGGGGTCAGGGCACTTTTACCGTGTTGTCTACCGCAGCATCCGACGAACTCTGTGTATCAAATAGCGTGGTAAATGCGGCATCTCGGTTCATTGTAGCTCGCCTTCGATGTAAATAATAATCGTCATCGATTAAAAATTGAGGCCTTTTGCATTTTGTCACTTTACATATTTTATAAAAGAAAGAAATTATATCTTTTATCAAGTCAAAATTGGTGAAAATTTTTTAAATATATTTTTATATTCATGGACATTTATCTCTTTTTGCAACCTAAGTATTATTGTAAAACCACATAATTTTTACATTTTATTAACATTTATATTAATATCTATATTAATTAATGTTGGAATTAATGAATGGACAATTCTTTTTCTAATGAAACAAGAGTCTAAACAAGAGAGTTCCACAATCGAGAGAAATTATTACATTCAATTGAAAGGAAAGAGATCCTCGTGGAGATCAAATTTGACAGATAAAAATAAAAATATAATCAAACAATAACACAGCGTTAACAAGAGTGCTCAGAATGAGGGAATCGAGTGTGCGGGAGTATCGGGACACCCGGTATGCTTCGGTACACAGAGCTTGGACCCACGGAGCGAGCGGGCAACTTCGGAGCGTCTGACCTCTGACCCAGGAGTTCTCTTTCCGTTCTCCTCTACACGGATCGCGTTCCTCCAACTCTCCAACCCTCTCCTCTTCTTCTCTACGTCTCTCTTACTCTTGCTATACCGCGCGGTGCATACTTCGCTTTATACTCGCGCTTTAAGCGTTGTGGCCTCTTTTAAATAGCGGAACTCTGCCGGGGCCATCTACGACGTCGCCGAGCGTTACGGATCCCTTTGGTCCTCGGGACGAGATAATAATAATGATAACGGCCGTCTGTTCGACGAAAAAATTGCACGGAATCGTATAATGAGAGGGATGAGAAAGGCAATCGGCATTGACTTGCAACGTGACTGATTTTACTTTTTCTTCAACTTATTATTTTGTTTTGAAAGTTTCCAATTGTTATGCCAGTGATTTTCTTCCTCATGGTGTTTATATTATTTAAATATACGAGAGTTATTACCATGTTTTTTCGGTCATCTTTTCTGTAATCACACTTTACAATACGGCAAATGACAAAAGTGTAAAAAAAAGATAAATTAGGAATATTATGTATTTTTTCATGTTTTTGTGAATATATTTAAGTAATTATTCTATATAATAGATTTTATATAAAAGTATTCTAAAAAATTCTATATAATAGATCTGATTTTCGAAATTAAGCTTGAGTTTGAAAAAGCATTGCGAATATTAAAAACTCTGAATGCAAAGGGTTAATTAAAATTATTAAATATATAATAAATTTTTACATATAAATCTAATACATAAATAAGTGTGATACATTTCACTACGTCCAGACGACATTCCATTCTCCTTCTTTATTGAACGGATCAATTTTATTTTTCAATATTTCATGTCGCGACGAATAGACACCGAAAAAAAAGTTAGCGCAAACCAATCAGCATATCGATATCAAATTTTAATCTAGCATTCTATGTGTCCGGACAGGATATCGATGTTACAGGATATGATGAAACTATCCATTCTGTGGAGCAAATTTTTTTATCATTTCGTGAACTAGTCTATCCTTCCTTATTCTCATTTCGGAGCAGATGTCCGTTCAGAAAATAGCAATCAAACTACTCAGTTTAATAAAGAACGCGCCTCTTGATACAATAATTCCATCAGAAAACGTAGTTGTTAATTACTTCAATTCTACAGCCATTATCTTCAAATGGATACAATGATTGTAACAATCAAGATCATTGCAAGCTATATATTTACTTGAATTTTACGCAAGAAATATAGGGAATAAAATGTAAAATTTCCTTTGCAAAATCCGTCCTTCAAATCTGTCTTATAAATACATTTGTTATTACTGACAATTGATTGAAATCGGTCACATTGTGTGGAATGGATAGATGATAATTGATCGTGAATTAAATCGTAAAGAAGGCTCATTATTTCCGAAACCGACTCGGTGAAATTTCGCGAGGGTAGAGACGTATCTTCGATAATGAATGAACCAGCGCTCGATTTGCACATCGGGCGGGAATCCGACTTACGTGTTGCGTGCGCGGATCCTGCCCTCGCGAACTTTCCTGGAAAATTGTCGCGAATTAAATGCCATTAAATTTACGATTTGTGCGCCGACGATTACGCAGCTCGGCGTCGAAGTAAAGGGAGACGTGCCTGGCCGTTATCCGCGGCGGTTACCCTCTGGTAGCGTAATAACAGGGGAGGCCTCAAATTGTGGTCTCGCCCCGATATCCTCTCCGGCTAGATGGATTACTCGAGAATTTATCGGCCGAATCGATCATGGCGCCAACGACGCTCGTAGTTGAGTTAATTTTAGTTAGCGTGTCTTATGTGAAGTTTTAATTGCAAGTTAAGTGCGATAAATTGACGCAAGAAATTTAAGACAGCTAATGAATACAAATATGATTATAATATTTATTAAGTTTAGTGAAAAATATTACTCGCATACAAGGTGTTTCTTAATAAGTGCGAAATATTTTAAGAGATGATTCTTTGTCGAAAATTATCGGGGGGTTTTTCATATAAACATTAAAAAGTTCTAATAAAAAATTGAATAGGGATTGCTAGTTTCATCCCCTTATTACAATACGGGAAGCTGTTAAAAATATTAATAAATAACCTTCTTATTAGTAGAAAATATCCACCCAATTTCACTTCTTTAACTTGTTCCAAATTTGAGAAAAAAATAAAAATTTAATTTTCACCCCCATTTTTGAAGAAGTGTCTCTACAGAAAGAGATGTAGGAGTACACGTTTATATGAAAAACCCCCCGATAATTTTCGACAAAGAATCATCTCTTAAAATATTTCGCACTTATTAAGAAACATTCTGTATACGTATATTTTAAAGAATAAAATAAACATTATTTTATAATTATACATAATTTGAATTGAAACAAAGTTCTCATATGTCGGTTTCATAGCCGAATGAGTTCTAGTCCCGTACTTTACTTTACGCTATTATGCATAAACGTAAAAAGTGCAATTCGACATAAGTTTAATAAGCATATCGCGAACGTTATTTCACGCTATTTTCCCGACGTGCAGGACGCGCAAGAAACGCTTGTCTCTCTAGCTATTCCGGCATTGACTCTTTATTGTTCGCGCTGTTTTTAGTCCTAAGAAACCGCATGCTGATTCCTCGAACTATGCAATTACCTCGGTTTTGTCTTGCGACTTACTGCAGGGAGAATCATTGCGAGATTGAGCGGCGGCGGCGGAACAAGATGACCGCCTACATCACCGAGCTCTCCGACATGGTGCCGACCTGTTCAGCCCTGGCCCGAAAACCTGACAAGCTTACAATCTTGAGGATGGCGGTGGCACACATGAAAGCTCTCAGAGGTGAGTAGCCTTCTTTGATTCTACGGAGAGATATTTACGATAAAATCACGCTTCTTTTTCCCCACTCTCTTACTTTATGTATCTACAGAAACTCAATTATTTTTTCTGTTCGACGAAGAGATCAAGAGATTTTTAATTAATCCTTCGCAATAAAATTTATTTATTTTTTTATTAAAAATATATTTCGAATTTGACGAAATATATTATATTTATAATTGCATTTGGTAGATTTTTACTCTCCAATAAAAATTTTCAAGTAATCTTTATTTTAATAGAACTTTGTTTTAAGATTGAAATTGCCTCGAATATTTAAAAAGTTGGGGTAAGTGTCTAATGAAATAATCTAAGTAACTAAAAATAAATCGACTCCTAAATTTTATGAAATATATTATAGAGCAAAATTATAGAGCCCTTATAAATCAAATTGCATTTTGTAAAAATGCCATGAAAAATATGACGACAGGATGTTAAAAAGCCATTCGATTATTTAAAGAAAGTTTTCTGTGTCCTTTGTCGAGAGACGAGAAAATCTCGAACGTCGATAACTTGCAGGCTATTTGAATTTAACTTAAGTTTCGAGTGCTTGAATTCATATGCATCGCAAAGTTGGTCCTGTCACAAATTTCTTTTTCTTCCTTTTTTTCTTTTTAATAATTTGTGCTCATATCATATTTTCGGAAATCTAATGTCCGCATTTTACTGACGCATTAAATTTATTTTTGAGAAATTATTAAATTTTTATATTCTCGGTTGCTACATTTTATTATCAATTTATTTATAGCTATATTGCTCTTTTTATATTTTATCCACTATAATTGCATTCCAGCGGGTTTTACTCTGAGTGAAACAAATTTCTCTCACTCTTTCTCTTTCATTCTTTTTTCCTCCTCTCGATCGTCCCTGCGGTCGCCATCGATAAGAAACGGTGCAGTTTTCGACGCGAGACGTGACGATTAAGTTGCAGCGATGTTTGAGTTATCCGGCACGAGCGGTGCAATAACTTGGACGCAACGCGAAATCTCGAAGCCTTAACATGAAAGCGATTAAATTACGGCCGTAGTCGACCCGCCATACGTTATGTTACGTACCTGCCTGCGACTATCGATTACGCGGAAAACACTCGCCTAAGTCCTCCCAGGTTGGCGCGCGGTTAGATTTCCGTCTTGACAGAGGCGAGAATTTACGAGCGCTTTTAGGATACTTATATACCTACAGTCGCGCGGCTTCCTTGTTAAGTCCAAGACGAATCGGGGACCGATATTGCACAAAGACCTTTTGCACAGTTTGTGCCGAACCTAGGCACCTCTCTTGATCTCTTAAAGATGATTATGTAAGAATTTGAGACATGAAACTATTATCACTTTCCAAGAAAGCTCAAATTATATACATAATGCTAATATTAATAAACATTTCTTATATTAAAAATTAAATCAAAATTTGATTTAATTTTTATTTATTTATTTGAGCGAAACTAATTATTAATTTTTTATATTGATCTTACATCCGAAGAACTTTGTTTTATTTTTAGAAAATTTTGTATGAAAATATATTATTGATTTTTTTAGAAATATTTTATACGCTTAATTTAACAAAATTTTCAAATCAAAAATTAGGATAATTTTTAAATAAGTACGCAAGAAAAAAAAAAGGAATGAAATCGGCATTTCTGCTGAAGAATGGCAAGAATTTCGAGGAAGAAATTCACATGAAACTGCATGCAAAGTCGGAAAGTTGCGCAGAGAAACGATGATGCAAATTTAAAGGGCCTCGCGGATATTTGCTTCGGCCCGACTCTCGGGGAAAATATCTGTACAACTGATTAACGAGGAGATTCGTCCCGGGGGGGGGGAGATAGATGGTGAGGACGGGAGGGATGCACCGTAACGTCGCGGCGAGTTTCGAGAAACCGGTGACGGTCATATCGAATGCAGTGAGCGCGATATATGCTTCCGGTGTGCGCGATGGGCGGAGTTGCGAGTCTCGTCCGTCGGCGGCTGTCTCTTTGGCAGCTCTGCCGGATACACCTAGCCATCTACCTGAGTTGCCCGAGAGAGCCCCGTAACCGATGGACACGTGCTGCGATTGTGCGTGAGCGCGCGCGCGCGCGCGCACACGTGTGTGCGCCAGCTCCTGCCGTGATTCCACCTAGGTATTGGTGGTGCGTCGCGTTGTTTATAGCCGCTTCTCCTCTTTCCCGACGACGAGGGCCGCTGCATACAAATCGCCCTCTCGCTCTCGGAGGCGAAGAGGAGGGCCCGTCTCTCCTCTCTCACCTGAGGGAGGAGGGAAAGGACACCCGTTTACGCGCGCGAAAACTTTGTGCATGCGCTACGTGGACGGGTATTATGCGGTCGCGCGACGAGACGCGTACGTCAGTTACCGAGAGAGCACCGGGCAGATTTTTTACGAGCCCGGGACGCCGACGATAAAAATTTCTAGGAGGCTGAAGAACCGTTCAGCGCGCACGATAGGAGAGAACGACGCCGTTCTGTCGCGAGCACAGCGGTTTTTTACGTTCACGGTGCACCCGACGAGATGTCATGGATGCTTCACGAGAGAGAACATTCTTAGGCATTAAATACGCAAAAGCAGCACTTCCTGGTTCGATAGTCTTGGACAATATCATGAATGCTTGAAATTTGATAGAGACTGTCTGGAGCCACAATTGACATTAAATATCAAAAACAACACTTACTAATAATAAGATGTATAAGATTAATAAATTGAATAATATCATATTAATTTGAAGATATTCCCATGGTAAAAATCGCCGGTACATCGTCGGTGACAGTATTGTCTAGTGTTAGATCGTAGAGCGTTAGGATGCATAGGAATGACAATTAAACGGCTACCGTGCGTGAGATTGCATACCAAAAATGTAGAATGCATCGAGCAGTGTGTATCTATTTCAAGCGAATCTTTTTTATAAATCTAATCATATTTAACCTGATTTCTTTGACTGCATAAATACTCGAATTATTACGAGAAGAAAAGAATCTGGATTTTACATATTTTACACATGTTCACACGTATTATGCCATACATTTATATATTTACATCGCGAATGTGTTTATTTATATTTTTAAATACTTCCTATTGTAATGTCAGAGATAAAAAGATTGTATATATTTTTTTTTCAGAATGCAAAAGTTGTGAAATTGTTCTCGCATCAAAAGAAAAAATATCGCAATTTTTTATTCATTAATATCATATAGATAGTTTTTAAGTCTATCTAAATTATTACGAATTAAGTTATTTATGCAAAAGAATTAACACTCGAGAAATATCCGATAATAATCATCATTAATCATACCTCGGTTTTCCCGAGGTATGATTAATTACGCTTTAATTTAATTACGCCAGTAACATATTCGACCGGCAGACATACACCACGTGGAAAATAATGGTAACGAAGGTCACCGGGGGTCTTCCATAGATCTTGTTTGGAAGTCGTTAAAGTATCTCTTCCCGGAATTTCTCCATATATCGAGGTAAAGATCGCATCGCAGCGTTCTTTCTTTCTCTTTCTCTCTTTCTTCTTCCCGCCTCCCTCCCTCCCTCTCTCTCTCTTTCTCTCTCTCTCGGGATCCATCGTCCACTTTGCAATTCCGATCTTGCACCTCGATAGTTACCTCCGTTGGCGAGGTGCCTCGTCCTCATTTTTGGTACCACACTATGGCGTTCGGACCTCGGCGTCTCTTCGGAGGTCGACTTCGAAAGACGACTAGCTGTGTTATCGAGAGACGTTATTCGATTTCAATATTCGATAGGACACGATTTGCTTAGGAATTCGCCGGAGTGCTTTTCCAGATTTGCATCACGCTTCGAGAAGTAACTTTCACGCTACAAAGAGTAACTTTCTTTGATGAATTTTATGCTAAATTCTCTTCTTCAAAACTTGAAACAATCATTTTATAAATTTAATCCGCGCCCGTTAAGTTTTATCATTATTTCTTTCTTGTCATTTCCTTATTTAATATGTTGCATATATGTAAGAGAGAAATTTGCATTTCTCTCGATAAAAATCGTTTACCATGCAATACGAAACATGGAATCTCACTCCAATAATTCGTAGATAAAAGAAATCGATAAATCTGAAACGCGTTCGTAATCACTTCATTTATACAAGACTCGATAAATCCAAATCGGATGTATATCCGGATTATTCTCTATAAATCTTCCTGTCCCATTTGTGCAATAAACATTATCAGAGGGAAATTGAACGTGTCGCAGGCACCGGAAATACCGCCACGGACAACGCTTACAAACCTTCCTTTCTCACGGATCAGGAGCTGAAGCACTTGATCCTCGAGGCGGCCGATGGTTTCCTATTCGTCGTGAGTTGCGACACGGGCAGGATCATCTACGTGTCCGACTCGGTCGCGCCCGTGTTGAACTACACGCAAAGCGATTGGTACGGCACCAGCCTTTATTCGCAGGTTCATCCGGACGACACCGAGAAGGTACGAGAGCAACTCAGCGCGGCTGAACCGCAGCATGGTGGCCGAGTATTAGATCTTAAAACTGGAACTGTGAAGAAAGAGGGTCAATGTAAGTTTAAAAAAAAAATCTCTCGTTTCTCTAAATTATTCATGTTCCTCGCGAACGTCAATTTGTCAACGTCACTCTTTAAAAATATATCATAATTTAAAATAAAAATCATCCAAGATATAATGAAGTACTCGAACTTGTAAGAAACGTAAGTGACGGAATTTTTCGCTTTCTTTGCAGCCTCGATGCGGCTGTGCATGGGTTCGAGAAGAGGTTTCATCTGCCGCATGAAGGTCGGTAACCTGCAGACGACCGGCGATATGGCGGCAGCGCACGGGCTGCACCGCATCAAGCAGAGGAACTCCCTGGGTCCGCCGGCGCGGGACGGTCAGAATTACGCGGTGGTGCATTGCACCGGTTACATCAAGAATTGGCCACCCACCGGTGAGTTTGGTACGGGTTCCAGTGTCTGAGAGAACCGCACACAAGATCCTACAATGCCACCGTTATCGGTGTCTCTCTGTCTCTCTCCCTCACGGGTGCGACATACAGCGGATCTCGGCTTTCTATTTTAAAGCGGTGGAGACGTCGCGCCCGCGAGGAATACGAACGAACCGTTCCTGGAACGTGTATGCTACGTGTGTATTGTAAATTAAGAATCGCCTCGAGTTATCGCGGTTGAATCTGTCGAGTCTGCGTTTTTTCAAACGAGAATTTTGTCTCTTTATTTTTTTTATCGCGTTTGCTCTTATCAAATTACAGAGACACGATGAATATTTTGTTGATGTTTACTATCATCCCTATAGCAGACTGGAAAGAATTAATCTTTTAAGCAATTTTCTTTTTTATTTTCTTATAACTTGTTTGACTAATAATGAAATTAATCTACTAATTAGAAAATATTTTTTTACTAATTATATACAATTCTTCGGATCAAAATATTCGTTTAACCTGAATGGAGAATCGTCCGTAAAGATTCACAAGTTATTGGTTGTTAATATGTTATTTAATATTTGATTAATATTCATGACCACATCACAGATGTCTATATTGTATAGACATCTGTGTACGTAGTTCTTTTATTTCATCGATAGCTTTGTAACGACCACTGATTAATTCAATCTTATCGATTAAAAAATTCAGTGACATTTTTTGCATGTATCTATAATATGACAGAAATGCAATTGACCCTTTTGCAATTTTCGAATTTCAAATCATATTTTCTCTCAATTTTACATATATTAATAATATTTAGAAATAAAAGCGTATACATATAATTATAATGTACGCGCAATGCGAATGAATGAATGAAAAAACGTTAAATGTGTGGCCAGGAAATTTTATAGATCAGATTTTAACATTCAAATTTTCATTAATCATGGATTATTATAAATATATTATATCTTAGTGTGTTAGTGCATCTATGAAATGCTCTTCATTTTAGTATATAAGATATTTTTACAAGCCGATCAACGGGAAATCATGGACTGATTCATGATTTTACGCTGTAGGTGATTTTGTTCCCCCATGTGTACCAGGTGTGGGTCTAGGTGACAGAGGATCCGGCGGCATTCAGACTGGTCCAGACGGTGTAGTCACGGACGAGAATGCTACCACTCATTGCTGCCTTGTCGCCATTGGGCGATTACAGGTCACTAGCACACCAAATAGTAGCGACTTAGCAGGTTCCAATAGCAATAGCGGTAAGTATATAACTTTTTTTATTATCTATTTTCTGTTCAATATTATGAAAAAAAATTGGTCATAAATTAATACTTTTCTTTGTAGAATTTATATCACGTCACTCTGCAGAAGGTAAATTTACCTTCGTGGACCAAAGAGTCGGTGGAATTTTGGGTTACACTCCATCGGAACTCTTGGGTCATCCGTGCTACGAGTTTTTTCATCCGGAAGATCTGACACACATGCGGGAAAGCTTTGAACAAGGTAATCATGTTGTATCATGCTCTTGCGTTTATACAACCATTTGATTTATCAATATTATTAACACGTGACTGGTTTTCTAGTGTTGAAGTTGAAGGGGCAAGTCGTATCTGTCATGTACAGATTTCGAGCCAAGAACCGCGACTGGGTGTGGTTAAGGACATCGGCATTCGCGTTTTTAAATCCATTCAACGAGGACGTCGAATATATTGTTTGCACAAACTCACATGCAAAGTAAGAATGCAATTATTATAAATTACAAATTCAAATATACAATTTGAAGCTTCGACGATATCTATCTCATGAATTATTTTTTTTATTTGAATCGAAAATATTCACGTGTTTTTTTTATTCAGATCATTTCATCCAAGTAATGAGCAAACGGCGGAGAGTGAAGCTGTACCTGCATATGGACAACCTGGTCTGGATTATTCTCTTCAGAGACATCCTACTAGGGATCCGTTGTATTCTGCGCATCATATGATGCAGCATCCAGCAACTGTAGCTACAGCCAGTAAGATTATATAATCCTTTTTTTCTATTTTTTCTATTTTTCTATTTTTTTCTATTATTAACGACTTGTTACATAGTCAAATATGCTTAATTACATACATAATTTTTAGGCCCACAACAACCGAGGCCGTCCAGCACGCAGAATGTCTATCAAAGCTACGAAACAACGCAATCACCAATAGCTTATGGATCACCCGGACAGCAAAGCGCGTCCTCATCAGTCTTAAGTAGGATTCAAAAGCCGGCTAATACATCGCCAACTCCGCAAGCATGGGCGATTGGAAGACAGGTATTTAATTCTTTGTTTTTTTCAACATTTTCGAGAAGTTACAGATATCTAAAAATTTTCGTACATTCTCGAATAGCAACCTGTGACAGAGGGTTACCAGTACAGTCAATTAAGTCCGTCGAGATCACCGAGCGGACCAACATATACACAGCTTAGTAGTGGCGCTAGAACACCGGCTACACAGCAATATCATGCAGTCACAACAGTGCCTAATAATCCTGGTAAGAGCTCGATATATTTTACTATATTCTCTAAACTTTTCGTTCGCAAAATCGAATAGATACCGAGCACTTTTATATTCATTAGCAGGTATGTGGGGTTGGCAAAATCAACAGCATCAGACGCCGCAGCCGGACGGGCAGACTGGTGCTCAGGTGGCGACGCAAGCGCAACCACCGCATCCTGGACAGACCGGACCCGGCACACAACCTCAAGAACTGTCCGACATGCTACAGATGTTACAGGATCAGGGCGGCTCGTCCGGCTTCGAAGAGCTGAACATGTTTAATACCAACTTCGAGTAGCAACGAGAAAGGCGATATGCCTTTGGGAAGCAGCTTCTACTTTAGAGGAATTCTTTCTCGGGACTTTCTCCAACCGCTCGGTATCACTTAGGAGTCGTTCATGAAAAGGATTCCTATTTGATATCGCAATTCGCGCTCTCACGTCAGCATCCAGAAGATTGTTCATGGAGAAAAAAAAATCGCGATTTAACAATTTAGCACCGCATATATAGACTACGCAAAAACGATCGCACTGGGATTAGGACAGCCTAGTCTGCCGGGTTATTTACATATAATTCATACGTATATAACGAGAGGTTTGATTCATTATTGTGGGTATCAGACGCCGTCGGTACGATCGCCGCATCGTACGCTCCGATTGTTCGAAATAATTATTCAAATTGACGAGCATGATTTCGCAGCGAAAGTGCCATTAAGACATCAAGCGCGACTGTACCTTCATAATGATAGATGATTATTGATTAGGGCTCGAAATGAAATATAATATGCACAGATGTGTTACTCACGTTTGGTATTTAGCACAAGGCATTAAATATGAAACGAGCACAATTATATCGTTTACAATTAAAAATACGCAACTGATAAAAATGTCAGTAATTAATACAGAGTGCTTTCAACACACTTAACGCATTTAAGGCATTTCGATTATATTTTGATGAATTTGGGGTATTATATTTATAATTGAATTCCGCAAATTTTACTTATGTCCATAAAAACTACGTAATCAAGTAAAATTTTGAAACTATGGATATTCACAGCCTTGTTGCAAATATTTTAAAGATATATAATATCTTATCTGTGCTTATTATACAAGAAATGTAATTTTAATTTACATGACAATTTTTAATTGGAATATCATGCGATTCGATAATGATATTTAGAAAAAAAAGGAAGATAAAACGAAAATATACTCTAAACAATAAGAAAAAATATTTTTAAAGAAAACTTCTCAATCAAATCTATACACAAATCACGGTAATTTTAATACCAGCTTATCGTTAGATTCATAAGAAGTTAGCTTAATTATTTTAATTTAGATCTTTGTAATTATAAACAGTGCAATCATAAACTGACACGCGACAAGAAATCGTTGAAGACATTGATAATGTACAAAAATTGTGTAATCCACCTTTGCTTCTCTGTGCAAGACACCGTTTTTAGATATTCTTAAATGAAAAAAAATATAGATAATGTTACATATACGAATAATTGCATTTATAAGTAACCACGTGTGACTTAGCGCGTTTGTACATGTTTTAGCAAATTTTGATGAGCACATTGAAACGAAATTGCAGCATATCATGATGAATTGGGAACATTTTTCACTAATATATGAACTATACATATATGCATGATTTTTTTTTTGATGATCCTACATCGTGACGAGAATAGAACCATCACTTTTTGACAATAACTATACATATTGGGCCTCTCTAAATACAGGCATTAATATTTATGCGCGAATGTTAAGTACGGATTTGTCTCTATCGCAGAGAGAGACTATTTCACAAATCCCTTATCCACTGTTATATATTCCTTTGCACAATATCCACCCATATATTATAGTTCCGCAAGAAGAAATCGCAAAATGATTAATATGATTTAAAGAATGAAAGGTGTTAGAAATGCATACATATATCATGCAATAAAGCTATAAAAAAATATTTTTAGTGTACATATCTTACATTATGTATTGAGAGAGAAGAGCGTATGTTGCTATAAGTTCTTTAACAATTTTCACTTTTTACGTTTCTTTGCGATTATAATTAATAATAATATGAAAGGGACGATAAGATTTTTCAGAATAATAAAAAGCAATGAAATCTTTAAAAAATATAATAAAAAAATATTACGTTTTATCTTTTTTTATTAGATTATTTTTATCTTTTTTTATTAGATATTTATTAAATATAAAGAAATGCATAGATATATACATATAATAAATTTATAATTTCAATTTTACAGCTGAACTTATGTTATTTTTTTTCTTGGAGCTATCTTTCCTTTTGACTTTATTTTTAGTTTGATTTTGTAACTGCGTAAAGAATGCAGTTGAAGATTTTGCGACTTTATGCATTGTCTCATCTAATTTTGTAACATTCCTATCTTTAGTTATTTGTTTAAGCAACGTAGCTCTTTCCTTTTTATCCTCATATTTTTTAGAGATTCCCGGTTTTAGTGCTTTTAGTTTCTCTTTCTTTTCTATTGCTTGCTGTTGCATTCGTTGCTTCAATTTCTTGCGCCTTCTTTCGCGTTTCATATCGGTTTTCGTTCTTTCTGACTTAGCAATAATATCACCACGTGGTTTGGCTAAAAATGAATATTGTGGATAAGATAAAGAATATACTATATCGTGAATTAACAACATATTATACATAAAAATATATGACACATACTTTTAATTTCTTCAGGTGCTAACAAAGTAGCATCACTGGCAGTGATTGGTGCCACTTCTTCCATTCTAATTGCAGGCACATTGCTAATAATTTTAATTTCAGGCTTAGCCTAAAAAAAAATAGAGGGAAGGATATGTATTATAATCAAAATATTCTTAAAAATGCCTCAAATGTTTCATAACTAGAATGAAAAATCAATCATACATGTAGAGCAACTTTTCTATTTGAAAAACTTCTATTATCATTCATAAATTGTGTGTAATTTCTATTTAGAAACTTCTATTTTATAATAAATACTTTTGGTCCTAATTACTTTTTGCAAAATATATTTACAAGAGTTTTGGTTTATGCAAAATATAACAAATCTTACCATCTTGGGAGTATAATGATAATTAGATAATGCATCCAATTTTGACATTAAAAAACGCATCATTTGTCGAATTTCACTATGCAACTGTGATACTTCTTCTTTTTTTTCATTATTTTCAGGATCTATTTGCTTTTGCTTTTGCTGCAAATATTCCTTCTCATAAATTTGTGACAAGCTTTCTTTGCTCTTCTCCTGATCTAATATCAACTTTTTCTTATATTCTAGCGGAGTTTCAACTGGCTTGAACTTCTTTTCAACATCGTCCCAAGCTTTATCCTTGATTCGCTGCTTGATTATGTCTTCCAACTTCATAGTAGTTTCCTCAGTAATCGCAGGAGCTGGCCTTATATTTACATCAATTTCCACAAATTCTTCCAATAGTGAATTCTGCGGTCGATTTGGACCACTTACTTCTCCTTTTAATTGCCAAGGTTTCTCACCAATCGCTTCTTCTTCTAGTTCCTTAATTCTCATCAATAATCTGTCTTGACGAGCTTCTAATGTAGATTTCTGTCCTATATCTTTTTCTATTTCTTCTTCCTCTTTATCTTTCTTATTATGATTTGTTTTATTCTCTAAACTGTCTGTCTCGTCTGAATCATTAGTAAGATTGAATCTTACTCTCTTAATCTTGTGTTCTTCTTCATCTTCTTCATCATCGTCCATTTCTTCATCTTCGCTTTCCAATCTTTCCTCTCCAGAATCGTTAATACTATCATCGCGATTTGCATTTTTATTTTCAAGTTGTTCATTCTCACTCTCAGGGCTGTCAAAGAAGTCTGCATATTTTATATATTTTCCTTCCGCATTAACTTCATTCTCCTCCTCGGAAAAGTTGTTAAATAAGTCTACGGATTCATCATCAGATTCAGTATTATTTTCATCTTGGTTTTCTTTTTTTTCTTCCTTAGTCAAGTATTCATCCAATTCTTGCAATTTAAAAAATTTGTCATCTACAACAGAGGACTTTTTCTTCTTTTTTTTATCATATTTCCTTTTTCTTAAATTGCTTTGAACTCTTTCAGTTTCACCCTCTGATTCTTTGTCATCTGATATATCTTCATTCTCTTGCTCTAAATTATCATTTTCAATTTGCATAAGTTCAGGTTTCATGGAACTCACTGGAATCATTAATTTCTTGTTACTGTCTAAAACTTTTGAGATCTCATTAGATAAATGCGTTATTTCCTCTTCATTTTGCAGCTCCAATTGTTGCCAAATTTGTTCTTCATCAAAACCTTCCGTAACTAATTCTGGCAATGCATTTGTATTTCTACAAGATTGCTCTTTAGTAAAATCATAGACACGTTTTGTAAGATCTGTGAAATCAACTTTAGTTTTCTCACTAAAATTGAAAAGAAAAAGATTACATTCCTATGGAATCTAAACAGATTTTAAGCTTTTAAATCAGATACCATGTTAGAGTTAAATTTAATAAATTTTCATTAAAAAAATTATTTTAGCAAAATTATAAAACATCTCTCATCTTATTGTACATTTTCTATATTTTTTTTTATAAAGAGAATAGAAAATATTTTCATTTTATCATTTTATTCTTAGGTTAGATTAAATATGAATAAGAAAACTACTATTATTATTAAAATATCATATTTTATTTACCTCTTTACTCGTTCCAGTGATTGAATACTATCAGTAAAAAAATATATGCTAGCCATCTTCTTATAATCACTTATAATTATTTATAAAAGAAAGATCTTACAACCAACAAAAGTCCCCCACGAGGACACACCGCACATAACGCAAGCGCCACAATTGTTTGAACTATGATGTCAAAACTAGTATTTGCATCTGTAGGTAAATAAAGTGGGTAAATATAAAATAGAAATAAATTCAGGGATAAATAAGAATGTTGGTATATTAATTATATATTTTAATCTAATTCAAATATCTGATATAAATCTATGTGGACGTTTCTATTTTTTTCCAAAGTCACGTTCTTAAATTTTACAATATTTTTTTTGTTAGATGCATGCATATTTAAGATAAAATATTATATATCTCTATGAATCTATGTTCCTTCAACTATTCTTCTTCTCCTTTTATCATTTTTACTTAGATTATTGTCTCTAGTCACAATTTCCTAATAGAAATTCTTGTAATAAAATATTCAGGCTATATTTTCAACATGTTTCAATTCTTATCAGATATTATATTTGGAATATTAAGAATAAACTCTGTACGACCCTTATAAGCTTCATTATTCTCAAAAATATGCCTACAGAGACCACGAAATTCGAAAATAACGATCTCCATCTTCATTCCTCATACTTCATGATTCAGTAACGTATTTACGTGTTTTATTATTATATGTTCAGGATGTGTTTAGAACAGATATTTCTCATTTCTTTCTTTTGCCTCTTCCAATATTATATTACATATTATTAATAATAATTTTTTATTTTTAAACTTTTTTATAATTTAAAGTCCATTTAAATTGTTTTACATTTAATATTTAATATTTTTAATTAAATATTATCTGTCTTCAAATGTAAATTTACAAAGATTTGATTGTCGAATTTTATTTCTCATACGTTTAACTCTTGTAGGTCACATTTTTTATTTTGTTCTTGATTACATCCCACATAGCATCTATGACATTCATAGGACATCCTGAAGATGTCCAATCGCCTAAAGATGTCTTCTGGACATTTCTTGGATATGTATGCTCTGTGGGATATGGGTCACAATGCCCTGTCACAGTTTAATCACACACATACTTAAAAAAATCTGCAAAAATTTATACATGTTCCTCGACAAAAAATAATCGTATACAACAGAAGTCAAAAACTATATTTTAAACGATATTTTTTACTTGATTAAAAAACCTTCTTGACATATTTCTTAAATTATCGATAGGCTCAAAGTGACCCATTAAAATGTGACCTTTAAAACTGATTGTGCTCGCCAAATTCTAAATTTTACTTATTCAAAGTAAAATTTTCATTCGACATATAAATAAAACATGCAATCACATTGGTTTCTTCTGGAAATTAAAGTCTAACCGTTATCGTACACTCGAGGGGAAAAAAGGTAAATAAAAGAAAACTGGAGGGGATCCAAAATGCGCGGTAAACACGGGGCCCCAAGGATCCTCCGCTCCGCACGTCACACGGCAAAGTACGATGAAACGTGTTTGCCACGTGGAGTGGGGAAACTCGTTCGCCAGGCGAAGGAGAGGAGGCGAAACTCGTTCGCCTGGCGGAAGAAGGGGGAGGGAGGAAGGGGACGCGTCTCGCGCGAAACGGAGAGGGAAGGAACGTCGAGGGCGAGACCGAAGTGAAGGGAAGGGCTGCGCGGCTCGAGGCTCGAAGCGAAGCGAGAGCGGCTGCCACGAGCAAGTCTGTGGCCGCTCGGGCATTGGCGCAGATCTCACGTTTGCTTCACGCCGGTTCGCGCGGCGAGAGGAACGCGGCTCTCCGCAAGTCGACGGTCCAGAAGTGTGGTGTACACGCGTGCGCCTGTGACGTGCGTCGCTCTCGGAACACGCATATTCCCGAGCATCGCGGAAGACTCCTCCGGACTGGAACTGTGCGCGAGTGTTTTTAGCGAGAACGAGAAGGGAATTGCGAGGGATAGAGGGAGAAAGAAAGTGCGTGGTTTCTTGTCTACCTGGTGGGATTTCTCCGGTGCTCTCACGGTGCGTGGTCCACCGGCGTCGATTGAGAAAAATCGTTCCGGCTCTCGGATAACTCGCACGTGCGCACACAAGGGAGCAAGGTGCGTATTATTGTGTTCTTAAGAGCGCGCCGCGACGAGAACGAGGATCCGTGGCGGTTATCGGCTCGCACACTTTACCGGAGATCGATCGTTCTCCGGGTCAAGCCGACTCTCGTTCGTCCATGCCGGCGTTTGTGCGCCCCCGTGGAATCCGAAATTGCGAAATCGGCGAACGATTCGCCATAAGAGCCGGTAGTCGCTCGTGTACTGCTTCGCTTTCAGAAAAATGTTAACGAAAATAATCGTGGTGACTCCGAGTCGTAGTCGTATCTAATTCAAGTTCAATCAATTAAAAACAGATCTGACGAAATGACATGTGATTCTCTTTATTGTATAAAAACGGGCTTATAATGACCTATGTGAAAAGCGAATGTAATCAGAGGATGAAGTAGTGCTTAGTAAAAATTTATAAAGCGACTAATAATAATAATAGCTCATGACTAATTAATTATAAATTATAATTGTGCATTATGATGTAGAAAATATAAGCACTGTGTGTTTTATAATAAGTGTCATCACGATTGATTGAAAATTATTCGATTTATGCTTTTTTTAAATTTTTCAAATTTAGAAAAAGCTTTAATTAATTAAATATAAACCATTTTAAGGAAAAATTAATTAATTAAAAACTTTCTGTAGACATCGATAATTGTCAAGTATGTTTTTTCGAAAAGAAATATATTATATTTGGACATTAATTGTATAAATATAACATATATGAGCGTGCGAGTTATCCGTTTTTAAGTGATAAAAGTGTATTACTATTAAATACGATCATATATCTCTAACACAATTTAGACATAGATAATTTGACAATTGCGATAGGCATTTGTTAACAAGTTGTATAATTGACTCAAATGTAAAATGATTTTTCATAACAAATGCTATAGCGATTTTAACGCAATAATCCACAAGAAAAAATTCATCGTGATTTAAACAGCCACGCATGCAAAGTTTAATAATTTTTCATGTCTAATTAATCGGTTTGATGAAAGTTTTGCTTACTTTAAAAATTAGCAAATCAACGGAATACATAAAAATTAAACAACTGCATAATTAATAAAAATTTTGCATATTGATATCTTAAAAACTGGATATGTAATTTCTAAAAACTACATATTTTTTATAAGATACAGATCGTCTCTGATACGTTCGATACCTTGCGAAATCTCGTACGATTTCTAAAAAGCTGGCTCACTAACAAGCAAGACACATCACGAGTTTCGTTTTTCTTAGTCACGCTCGAATTTTTCTTGTGCTTGCAACACGTCCTGATGTTATTACAGACTATGTAAATAATTACGAATACATGTGTAAAACTTATGCCAATGTTGTACAAGTATTTTAATGAGACGCGTTGTATTTCATCTTGAAGAAACTATTCTACTGCCACATTCACAGTTCGGCTAATTACTCATCGTTATGCAAATGAACTCCTTTTTCATAGATGGAATGCAACTGCAACTGAGGAATGTTATTTTTGCAAAAAAAACAAGAGATAATTATTGTACTCAAGTAGAACACAAAATGATTTTCCGACATGCAGATTGACATAAAAGATATCGATATCATCGATTAATTTTCAAGCAATTAAGTAAGAAATTAATGGAAAGTAAATAAAGCACGAAATACAGTAGACACACGATTACTCCAGAAAAGGAGGGATATTTGTCGTCTCTCGGTCAGACGATATCTCGTGGAGGACGGCGTGGAATCTAGAAAAAAATTATACCGGTCCGCGAGTTTTCCTTTTCCTCGCCTCGAACGAGTTCTCTCGGTGATTATAACGGGTGCGGATCTCGGCTTGGGTGTACATGAAATTGGAGCGGTACTTCGATCCTTCCGCGAACGGTACTCGCGTCGCGTCGATATCAGCCTCCACAAGGTGCGCGAGGAGGAACAAATAAATGACGTAATCGCGAATTACAGATATTCCGAAAGAGAGACAGATGACGTGTACATTTATAACGAAGCCGCACTATATCTACGCGATTATTATAAGCGATTGAGGGGCCCATAATTAACGAACTATTAATCATCTCCCCGCCTGAAGCTCTTTTTCGAGCATAATTCGCAAAGAATTTTCTCCAAAATTCATTATACAATACGATAATAAATTTATATATCTAGAAATATTTCAAATTTTTAATCTGAGATGAAGTTCTTAAGAGACTTGAACTTTTAGATTTGATATTTTTGAAATGTTGCCAAGTTTCTTATATCGAGAGATAGGAATTAAGAGGGCTGTCAATTTGAGAGATTAGAAATAAAGAGTCGAAGATGAGAGGAAAGTTGAAGACTGAGATGTGACAGTTAAGAATGGAGAATTGACATTGGAATTCATTGCGTTTAAACGGTATCAGACGGCTCTAACAGATCTCTCCGGGGTGCTTTTCCGCGCCCCTACGATACATAATACCGTGGACTCTCAATGGACCTTTTTTCGCCAGCGGTACGCGTCCTGGCATTGATGCAGTAACCATCCCGTGAGGCGGAAGCTGCGTGTATGCGTGCGGTAGCGTGCGTACTACCGAGCGGGAGTAATACCTTCTCTCCTGTAACACACGCGTGTGCGTGTGTGTATGCGCGCGTGCGTGCGTGCGTGCAACCGCACGCCTGTATTTTCTCTGGAGTTGCTGGACCGCTCTAGGAGAGCCTGTACTCTCGCGCGACCCTCCCCCTTCTCCCCCTCCCCCTCTTCCATCGTCAGCCGGATCCGAGTCGGAGGGATCCTTGGCGAGATCTACAGGGGCCCCGAGACGGCGGTCGACTCGGGTTACGCGGTCTTCAAGGCCCGCGACCGATCGACCAACCATCGCCTTCCGTCAATTGACGTGGTTGTTCGCCGAGAGAAAAATTTCGTGCTCGTTTCGAATACTTTTGGGGAGAAATTTTTTGCGTGTCGAAATAATTAATTTCGACGTTGCCTGAAAAAAGTGTGATTGTACCTTGAATTATTTTATTGAATTTGTGTGCGTCTAATCGAATTAAAATTGGACGTTCAATTTTTGATAAGTTACAACTATTATGGTTTCTTTCCCTTAAGTTGTGTGCACATACGTGTGGCTTCTTTTCTTGCGATTATAATTTTTAATTGATTTTTGATTAATAAATATAAATTCCTTTTCGATTTAATACACGTATATTTTTGTCCTCGTGTTCACTTTCAAATTCCACGCGTATCGATACAGTGGCGGCAATCCTATTCGCATATAAGTTTGCACGCGTCTAGGTAGAAGTTAAATTGTTGATAAACATACCGGGAGAGACAGGTATCAACGGTTAGTTTTCTTACGTCGGATTCCAGACGCCAGAAAGGTCAAGCGAGCTATCGAGACTACTTTCAACGCGCATTGCAAACTGTCGAGAATTATCATTATCGTTATTTTACTCTCCGTCCATCTTATTGAAATCGTTATTATATAATAACATGTCACGCGATCGGCGAGAATTCTGTGCTTGAATTTTAATTCAGAGATACCGTATTCGCATCTTATCGCCTCGCTACTGCAAGACTGTTCTAAAATAATCTTCGATAAAATAGTTGTATCTACATTTTTTTATCTAAAATATATTTTCATCTAATTTCTTATCTAAAATATATTTTTATCTAAATTTCTTATCTAAAATATATTTTTATCCAAATTTTTTATCTAAAATATATTTTTATGTCGCTTTAATATCGAGACGAGCTGAAAGTCTCTTTACCAATAGATGCAGAAAATTAAATAAGAATAATTGATAATCTATAATTCACCAATATATCTCCCAGTTAATCGACAATATGACAAGTTCATCGACGTATTAGCAGCTACGATTACATAATTGAATACATTATTCCAAATAGTCGTTACCGTTCGCTATGACTTATGATCGAAGGGGGATACCCGGTGGCGACACGGAATTCCGAGAGAGATTCGAAAGCGACCACAGTTCCATTAGACGTGCTGCACATTCCAAGAGGCACGATAAACTCGCGACCTCGCGAAACGACCATCGATCTCGTCAGATCCTATGCGAGGTTTTCAAGTATCGCCAGTGTTTTCAAGTGTCGGGAATTTAAGCGATTCGTTCGCCGATTTTCACGATTACTGCGCGATTAAGCGGTCGAGTAGTTGCATATTCGACACTTCATCTTATTTTAAGTATTGAAAGACGAGCCAAAAAAAATTATTCTTAAACACTTTGACACTTGAGATTTTTTGTCACAATACATTTTTAATAGCTTCACCTTTAATGGTTCTTATACACGATAAATAATCAATTTAATAATCGATTCTGAATGGTTTGAAGAATGATAATGTATTATATAATTAACAACGATTAGCGTTCCTAATTTTCCATGAATGTTAATTAATACGATTTCCTATCGCGAATGGGAATACGTGGACTGAGAAATTCTTAACGTATAATTTACGAAGCATTCATGTGGCAGGTATTTAATAATAAATGATATACTCATACATGCTTTCACCTCTTTAACAAGCCAAGTGGCAAATCTCAAGAGCGGGGAGATGTCAAGAAAGAAAAGAATTTGTTTCACGTAACGTGTTTGCTTCGCGATACGTTATCTCTCGCGGATTAAATGAATTTATGGCGAATTATCATCGGTTTTGTCAGTACCATTTTGTGCCAAAGCGTACGCTGCAATTGCAACAGCTGCGTCGTAAAGAAAGCCGTCATCGTTATATTTATTCACTAAGATAATAAAGACTATGATAAGAAAGATCGTTTACGTAACAAGTATATATAACATCAATTTTTCATCATGAAATGTCAAATCCATTCTATTCCGCTATTAAAATTTTATAAAAGTTCTCTGTGAATTCTCTGCTCTCTATGACCTACAAAAAAATATATATTTATTTTCTTTTTATAAATAAAGAAATAAAAAAACAAAATAAAGATTAAAGTAAAATTGAAATTAAAATATCGAAAAATTAATTGACAGGTCAATTACGCTTATAAATTTTTGATCAAAATCGAAATTTGACATCGGA